CAAAGGTAGAAGGAACTTCAACTTATAGCTAGTCTTTAGGCAGAGTAAAACTGCGGGAAATGGTTCTGTGGGAAAGGGAAGCATTCTGGGAGCAGAACTTGAGCTATCTTCAGGAAGGACAAGGACCTGACTGAGCTGCCTGGAGCCCTGGGTGGGAGTGGGGAGTCTGAGCCAGAAAGGGAAGTGCTTCGTTCGACTAAACAGCCGGAGGGAACAGTGGGTTTCATAACCAGGAAGCAGTGAAAGGAAAGAGGCGAAGCTGGAATACACTGGGCAGCTACAATGGGCCAGACCCCAGCATCTCTCGCACTGCATGTAATTGCCACTCTATTAATTGATGGGCTGAGTTTGGTGGAACACCCATCCCAAGACAAGGCTGGGGACACATTCCAAGACTAGAACCTAGAAGATGAACATCTAGCTTCATGCTTATTCTAGTAAAATCTAGGGGCTGTCATTACTACTACTTTAAAATCTGCTGTAACCAATTAGCTGTTCATTTTTAGTGCTTCTCAATGTTGGCCACACTTTAGGATACCCTGGGATACTTTGAAAAAATGTTGATATTTGTGCTCCTTCCCATGCCAATCAATAAAAAGTCCTTGGAGGAAGGGACAAAGGGACAAACACTAAGAAGTCTCCCGAAGTTATTTTAATGTTTTTGAAAACTACATCTGTGCTCACTGGCAGTAAACCCCTATAAAACTAAAATAATGAGTGTACTATTTACAAAGACTGCAAAATTATTAGGAAATTGAAACCTGATTCTGAATGTGGTCCAAGGAAGAGACGAGGTTTTGGTTTCATTAGCATTAGTAGACCTGCTCAGAGCTCCTGGGAAGATCCAAGTCCCTTCCTCAGAGCTTTGATCTGTAAAAGAGCACTGGTGACCATGGACTATTCACAGATGTCTCATGTCACCTGTGGTAGGGGTTGTCCAATTCCACCCACAGTCTGAGGTCAGTAGTTCATCTGGGCCACTGGTGGCTTACCACTGCATTGCAGAGGCACAAGAAACACAGAATGTCTTATCAACAAACCACAGCGTGGATTTTGAGGAAACATTTCATAAAGATAATTCAGGGAGAAACATACAAAAATTAGAGCCATTAATTCAAAAATTAATGTGAAGACCATTAAATCATCTTGATATTTACAAAGATGAAAAGCAAAAGCCCATAGAGAGTCATACAGGAATGGAAATGGTTCAGAATCAATCCAACTGCTGGCAGAGAACTAAAATCATAGTAGATCTTCAGTATATTTTTTTATGATTAGTGACAGCTACATTTTGAGATTTAATCAATTTTTAGCAGAGTTGAAGTGTTAGTCTTTCTGATCTACTTCATTCACTGTGGGACAAATGTGTAACTTCTTTGAGAATTAAACATGTGGTTGGATTTCTGATGCTCTAAATATGACAGGAAAAATATTGGTGTTTTTCCTGTTTCTAATCTGAAGGCAACTTTCATTTTCTGTAGAATTTAAACACAAACTGACCTTCACGTATGAAAAGTGAGAAGTGGCTTCTCTAGTCTTTCTGGCAGCAACGGGGGCTGCTGTGTCACACCGCTGTGGGGGTGCCGTGCACTGGGGAGTCTCTGCCTGGCCCCTCCAGCTGGATGGTTCCATGCACGTGGCTGTACAGCTCTGGAACGGCTCCTAAGCAGCACTCTAAAAGGAATGCGAGGGAGCAGGCCCATAAAATGTAAGCCATGTGTTTCATGTCCATTCCAACAAATTAATGACACATTTTTAAACTAGTGTATAGCAAATAGATACTAGCTTTTCTCTTAGAACACTGGCCCTGGGTGGGCATCAGGGCACTCCTGAACATGAGCGCTGGAGTTGCCCATCATACACGGCTTGGACTCGCCCTTGGCCAGCCAGCAGTGGAGGCTCAGCCCCTGTCCCAGTCCAAGGCTGGCCGCCCAGACCCCACCTTGCCAACCTGGGAAGGCAGCAGTCCTCCCCGAGACGTGTCCTATGTCACGAAGTGGGGAAATGTTTTCTGCAAGAGCCCTGGCCATAGGGAAGGGCAAAGTAATTGAGGACCTCTTAAGAAGTAACAGAACCACTTGATATATTTTTAAAGCAATCTAAAACAGTTTGTTTACTTTTGAAAACAAGGATGAATAATTTCTCTTCCAGATTATGCCAACTGAAAGAGGAGATGGAAAAGAAAAGGAGTAAAAGGGGGAAGGTGGTAGAGGAGAAGAGAGGTGAAGTGAAGAGGATGGAGAAGGAGCAACAGGAATTGTTGGAGAAGGGAGGTATTTACAAATATGGGAAAGAAGCACATGAATAGAAGAATGGGAAGGAAACAAGAACAGAAAAAGAGATACTAGATTCCAAGTTGAGTGAATGACTGTAGTATTTGTGCACAGTCTGCACTCCTCAGGCTGGAACATCTGTTCAGCTGAAAGGCACTGCCTAGGCATTGGGTGCCTAGGTGCTGGGCAGGATTCAAACTTGCACAGGACTGAGCCTTGCCATCAAGACATGCATGATTCCATGGATGCACAACACTCACACACAGCTACTGTGCAGGCTGGGCTGCATGGAAGATGGCAGCAGGCGCCCTGGTGGTCTGCTCTCTGCTGTCCCTCGGTCCCTACAGGACCTGTACCTACCAGGTCTTCACTAAATGGTTTTCAGGTGTGTTAAATGCTAATTTGTCATCTAAGTGTTATGAACATGAAAAAGGCAGGGAAGATTTCCTCAAGATTGATGCTGAACGGGTGGGCGGATTTTCATAGAGCAAGATGTGGGGCAAGACATTTTAGACAAAGGCTGCAGTGTGAAACAGCAGAGCCTGTGTACGTGTAGGGACCAGAAGCTCCAGGTTATTTAAATGCAGGGTTTGTAGTAGGAAGATGGTAAAGTGGAGGGAGATTAGTATCAGATGATCTAGTCCTTGAAGGCTGGCAAGAGGTTTAGTATAACTTTGGACAGGAAGGTGGAGTGGGCATCAAAGATTTTTTAGCAACCAAATGAAGGATCAGAGTTAAGATTAAAAAGATGGATTTGGCAACTGCATTCAGAAATGTCTGAGCTGGAGAGCCTCTAACAGTTCTGAAAACATGATCTGCAGCTCCGTCTTTGATCCAATTGTTGGAGTGCTTATTCGAAATGCAGATGCCTGAACCTGGCACATATTTCTTGGCTCTGGGGTGAGGTCCTAGATCTGCGTTTAAGTAAGTTATCCAGTGTATGAAATTTTCTGTACACAAAAGCTAGTTAAAAGTGGCTTAGAAACAAGACCAGTGAGGAGGTACATTGGTTATCTATTGCTGTGTAACACCTCCCAGAAGTTAGTGGCTTATATAACACAGGTTCACTGCCTCAGTGTTGTACGTCAGGAATTCAAGAGTGACTTACTTGGGTGGGTGTGTGTATCCGCAGTGAAGCTTAAGCGCAGCCATCGAAAGGCTCGTCTGCAGCTGGCAGATCCACTTGCAAGCTTGTCCTGTGGCAGGTGGCAGGTGACAGGAGTCCTGAGTTCCACTCCACGTGGGCCTGTCCACAGGATTGCTCACGACATGGCAGCTGGCTTCCCTCAGAGTGAATGATCCCGAATGGGAGACACCCACGCACCCAAACTGTAAGGTCTTCTATAACCTGATCTCAGAATTGACATACCAGAAGGAGCGGGGAACAGGAGGAGGAGTCTAGATATCACAGTAGGCAAAATCCATAGCCTAGGTGTGAAGTGGTAACTTGAAAATTATAGTAGGTGATGTGAAATGATATGAGCTAACGTTTGAACACCTACTATGCCCAGGAACTGTTCTAAGCACTTGACTTGTATTATCTCATTCAACCCTCACAACAGAATGAGGCAGATGCTGCTGTTATCCAGAGAGGGAAACTGGAGTGCAGAGAGCTTAAGTGGACTCGTTGGGTGTGGAAAAAGATTACATGTAGGGGAAGACGACTGGCTGTGACCAGTGTCCTGTGGGATTTTTACTAGCGGATGAACCACCCCTTATGGTTCTTCAACTGTTCAGCCCATGTAGTCTGGGCTGGCCAGAGCAGCTAACCAGGGGCAAGTGACGGTCCAGCCAAAAGCAATTCACAGGCCATTTCATAGGCAGTGGGAACAAAACCAGACCAGAAATTCCCGGACAGGATCCCTAGAATGGTTCCTAAATAGCTAAGTCTGGAGGACTGATCTCGGCCCGAGGGCTCTTTCTAACTTCGAGCATCTTTTGCAGTCCAAAGACACAAGGAAAGAGAGTTTCCTTTTTGAACAGAGTAGGTGAGGCTCCTGACTCCTGGATGCCCTGTTTCAGGTGCCCCCAATACGTGCAATCTGGGCTTCCCCAAAGCAGGCTGATTTCTCCACACATTCTGAGTGTTCCTCTAGGATGGAAAATGCCCTCCAACGTTTCTACCTGCTTCTGCTCAACTTCCTCCAAGAATTCCAGCGGGCTCCTTCCTTCAACCTGTTCTTGCTGCAATTCACAAGATTCTTTGGCTTTCTTTCTTGTTCTCCAGATTTCTTTCATTTTCTCTCCCTGCTCGGTTGTTTTCAGTCTCCAGCTTTCCAGCCTTTCACCTCCTTGGTCCTGTCCTACAAAGCCACACCTGTTCTGACAAGGGGCTGAGAGTTTGATAAACTTACTTAATGTCAACAAAAGAGAGAAAGAAATAAAAGTAAGTTCAGAGTCGCAGGAGCAAAACCTGAGAGGTGAGCTGCCTGGGCCTGCGGGCCTGGTGTCACGGAGAAGGGCCTGCCCGTCTCCGCAGGCTCCACCTTGCCAGAAACCCCGATCTCCGGGGTGGAGAAAGGGCCGGGCGGCTGACAGTAATAACGTCCGCAGGTCCCGGGATTGGGACACGCCACCACCGAGTGCAGGCGGCGCGGTGGGCGTGCAGCCCGCCGCCCGCAATGGCCTCCGGACGCCGCGCTGGGGCGCGTCCAGGCGGCCGGGTGGGGCCCCGCGCCCCGTCAGTCACCCGGCATGTGCGCCGCGGGTGGGGCCGCTGTTGGCCGACGTAGGGTGGGGCCCCGCGCCCCGTCAGTCACCCGGCATGTGCGCCGCGGGTGGGGCCGCTGTTGGCCGACGTTCCGGCCGGCCGGGTGTTCGTCCCGCCAGCCGGGGCCGCTCGCACCGCCTCTGCCTTCCGCTGCCCCCGACGGCTCCGGCGGCCCGGCTGGACGCGGCGGGCGCTCGGGCGGCCTGAGCAGGTGGGTGCCGGGGGGCGGGAGGCCGAAAGGCGCGGCGGCGGAGGCGCTCGGCGGTTGGTGGGGGCCCCGCGGGGCGGCACGCGCCCTCCCCGGCCCGGCGGCCCAGGTGCGGGCGCGGCGCGCGGCGGTGTCGGTGTCGGGTGTCGGGGCGGCCGGTGGGCGGGAAACGGCTGGGCTCGGGCTCGGGCACTAGGGCCTCCGCCGCCCCGCACGCTCCGCGCCCCCGCCCCGCGGCCCGCGCGCTCTGGGGTGGGGCCGGGCCCGCGCCCCAACTGGGAGGGCGCCGACCCCCGCCGCGCTGCAGGTAGCCCCGGGCCGTGCCTCTGCCGCCCCCGCGGGACCTTTCGCGGCCCGGGCGCCCCCCGCGCGCTCCCGCCCCCGGGGTGCCGCTGAGCCGGCGCGGCTGGGCCCGGGGCCGCCCTCCCCCGACAGGGGCCGGGCGGAAAGCAGGCGCGGGCGCCCCTCTCTGTCTGAACGTGGTCTCCTCGCTTAACAGGCTGTCGTTTGATCGTCACTAGAGACGACTTGGATCCGCCGGGGTTTTTTTTTAAGTGAATACGCGGAAGGCATATGTGGGCATAGATTTGGCTTATCAGTGGAATTTTCTAGATAAATCCTCGTGTACAGTACTTTCAGATCTCCGAGGAATGGTGTATATTTACAAGACTTAACCAAACTGTTGTCATCTCTGGTAATTCACTTTATCCAGGAAAACAGCCCTTTTGCAGATAAACTATTAGGTAACGTTGAATGAGATAACTGAAAGTTTGAAACGTGGCTGTTTTAAAAGAACTGGAACTCAAACTATATTCTGCACATTAACGTTATTCTGCCCGTGTTACAATATTTTTGTGATTTAGGCTGCATCTCAGGCTTTTCTTTAGGTCTCAGCGTCGTTAAGAAGGGTTTGTTTTGTAGAACAGGGCTGTGGGAGGTGTGACAGGCCACATGTCCTAGGAAACAAATGATCCTGTGACCCCTTAGGAAAAAAAAAATGTTTTTTAAATAAATAGCAGATGTGGGCTTGTGGCTTGTCATTTCTCTTTTAAGAAAATGATGTAAAAGAAAAAAAGAGAATTAGCCGCGCTTTTGTTTTCATTGGACCTTGAGTAACTGGATGTTTGGTGTACTGGGTGTCAGCCGGAAAGCATGGGAGTCAGCACAGCACTGACTGTCCCTGCGGGAGTGAAGGCGGGAAAAACCCTGTTTGGTGAATTTCCTCATTCCGACTTCCTCTCCCCTGGCGCCTCTGGTCTCTGTAACTTCACGCAGATCATGCGGCACCACGGTGCGCAGTGCAGGCCCTCATTTCACAGATGAGGAAAGTGAATCCAGGGAAATGAAAGGGCATCCCGACATCACACTGCTCGTGAGGGGCACAGCTGGGAGTCCAGCTGGGGTCCCCCCTGGCTGTCCTGTGAGCACCCTGTCTGTGAGTTTGCCGTCTGAAAGCGCAGGCGAGGAGAGCGGATCCACCCTGTGGGCATCAACAGCCTTAGAGTGGCATGCATGTTGCTCAGCGTGCCGACCACACAGTCGTCAGCTGGGTCCTCCGTTTTCTCCGAGGACACAGTCCTTCTGTCAGGATCCACTAGTTAACTTCCATGCTAAAAATCCCATGTCTGTTAAGAAAGACAAAACAAAACTGTGTGTGCGTCTTCTTACAAGTGCTGTGGAATGGTTCCCACTTGGCAAAAGCAGCACCGTTGGTCGGCTCCTGGTGGCTGTGTGAGAGCCGAGACAAGGAGGCTCTGCCCCCTGGCTGAGGCAGGCAACAGCACCCACACCTGGGCCAGCATTCCTGCAGCTCCCGGCTGCCTTTCCTGGGCTAGAGGGCGTTTTTTCAACGCCTGGCCTCCCCCAGCTTATCTGCAGTCCCAGGATGAGGCTCCTGCCCTCGAGAGGCCCTGTGCATTGGGCCCCTCCATTCAGCTTCGTGGCCGTAGCATGAATTTGCACGTCTTCATTCTGAAATTCCACATCCCGATGATGTTCTGATTCTGGGCTCACAAAGAAACTCCGCTGGGCTGTGGGAGTGCAGTAAACCCGACTGAGAGCCATGCTCCACCCTGACACTCACCCGCCCTTCATCTGTGAAGTGGGAGTGAGGACGCATGAGTTGATGCATGTAAGGTGCTGCAGGCAGTGGCTGGCACAGAGGGGACAGCTCTTGTAAGGTGTGTTTGGGGGCCTGGGGGTGGGCTGTGGGGGTGGGGATACGTGCATTTGATGCTTTCAAGGTTTTAGTTTTTAGGCCCCTTCATACAGTCACTATTGCTGGGATTCACCCCATTCAGAGTGGGATACAGAGCAGAAACCTCAGACTTCCTCAGGCCCCTCATTTTCTGCCAGGTCTGATTTCTGTGGCCGTCAGTGTTACTTTTAAAGGATGTGCTAACATCAGGACACTTTCTGGAATGTCAAGGAGTCCTCCACTTTGTTGTCTTACCACCTCACCTCAAAGCACTGGAGTCACATGGTCCAGGAGCCACATTCTTCCCAAGTTCCTCTCGTCTGCAGACAGGAGCTCAGCCTCTGGAAACCTGGCCTTCAGGATGGCTTGAGTTGGCCCTGACCCTCGAGAAGCTGTTAGAACCCCAAAGTCAAGAAAACATTACAGGACATCAATTCCGTGGCCATTACAGCCTTTGAGGGTCACCTCAAGACAAAATCTGACGCTAGAAAGAGAGCTGAGAGGGGCGTGACTGACTGAGTTTTAATTCTTTTTTTATTTTCTCACAATATTGTGTTCCACTTGGGTGCCTGGAGTTGAATGTTGCAAGAGATTGTAAGGTACAGTTAGCAAGGTGCTTGTAACCTCAGTAAGGGGCCCTGCACATGACCATTAGTTAGTGAACCTAATGAGGTGCTCTGTATGCAAACCACCGTGGGCGCCTCAACTGTTGAGCATGCTTGTCTCAAAGACTGGTGTGAATGGAGAAACCATTTGGAAGAAAAGGAGGAAGAGGGAAACTGAAGGCTCCCAGGGAGTGTCGCTGTCTGACTGTGTCAGTGACAGGTGGAGAGCTAGGAGGAGCCATGTGTGACTAAGTGACTCGCCTGTAGTTTAAGAGCATTTGGACTTAGTTTCGAGAAACAAGATGTTTGAGAGGGCATGGCTAGATGAGATTATTGAGGCGTTGTAAGCACCATATTATTAGTCAATGTTTTAGAACACAGGTGATCCTGAAAAGTCACATAGCAAGCTTTTTTTGTGTCTCCTGTTATATTTAAGCAGATTAAAAGGTTTTTTTTCCCAGAATGGAAATGTGTAACTAGTTTCCTTCTGATTATAGAAGTATGATGGTTTGCAGTTTTTTTTAAAAAATCTGCCAATTAGAAATGTGTAGAATGGACTGAAACCTCAGTGGAATTGCCACCTCCCTCCCCGCTTTCAGACAAGCTTTCACCGTGAAGCCATGTGTGTCCACCTGAGGCCATGGCTGTGTTTTGAGGTTTTGTGCCCTCTAATAAGCTCTTTTATAAAGCAAGCGTGCTTTGTGATGAACCTTGTTATCTCTTCACTCCCTGGGTTATCAGGGGAATTCAGATTTTATGAAATTAGATTATCTGGACGAGGTATACCTAGGGCCCGGTGACCGTCCATATGTGCATGAACGTTCTCTCCTGCGCGCATGCTCCTTCCGTGCTCCCAGCAGGGTGTCTGGAAATTGCATTGTCCTTTGGTGAAGATGAAAATACCTAATTGTGTTTATTTAGTGTTACTTTTAAAGGGAAATGGGAACATTGCATTGTAGTCTAATTTTTAGTTCTTCTTTTGCATTCCCTGCACACAGCTCTGTTTTGGTTTGGTTTGGAGTGGGTAATACTAGAAAATCTCACAAACAGTATTTTCTTTTCAAATAAGTTGTTTGGAAGGAGCCTTTTTGTTTCTTCCTGTGCCTTGTTTTGTTTCTTTTCTCAGCTACAGTGTGGTGGTTAGGCTCAGAGGTAGTAATATGTCTGCTTAGTTGGGAGAAAGTCAAGCCTCTATTAATTTTTTTTTGTTTCCCTGAGATTGACCTGTAAAAAGTTAGGGTTTGTCTTGGGTTTTTGATCAAGTGTCTTTGGAAATTACAGGGTAGAGGTTACACAAACTCTTAGCGAAGCGTGTCTTGGCTTTTCTTCTCTTTTCCCCTGAAAGGAAAGCGACACTGTATTTCCTCCAGGCTTTATTCATAAGCCCACCCTTGCCAGGTATCTACTCCTTCTAATACCGCCTGCTTTTTGGATGTTTCTCTCTGCAGGTTCACGAACGGTGTTTTGAACGGGGTGTTTGGTGCTGAGAACCGAGAGCGGGCTTGCTGAGTTACTGTCCGAGTGGCTTGGGATCGCCCCGAGGCTCTGGGCAGCTGTGGGTGCGACCAAGTCCAGCCCAAGTGGGGTTCACTGGGACACCATTTTCAAGAAGTTTCCCTGCAGGTGTAATACTCCAGGCCTGCAAAGATGCTGAAACAGATACTGTCAGAGATGTACATCGATCCTGATCTTCTGGCAGAGCTCAGTGAAGAGCAGAAGCAGATCCTGTTCTTCAAGATGAGGGAGGAACAGATCCGCCGATGGAAAGAAAGAGAAGCAGCAATGGAAAAACAGGAGAGCTTGCCAGAGAAATCCAGACCCGAGAAAGGTGAGCTTCCCCACGACTCTTCCGTGAATGTGTTAGTACAGTAGCTCCCGGCTGGTTTTAACATTTCACATACTAAGCAGCAAGTCAGGGCACATTCCAGTTTAGTAGGTGGACCCTAAATGCTATTGAGATTTTAATAGTGCAACTTAAGGACTTTTGGTCTACACTCACACACACGTATGCTCACACTCACAGTGGTGACTGTTGTGGTGTAGCCAAGAGCAGATCTCTTACTTCACACCAGGCTGACCTGAAGCTGAAGTAAAAAGTCACCTGCAGAGTTTGATTTGAGGGTAATGAGGTTTCTATCTGCCTTAGTGTCACAGATTCCTTGTATTCTACCACCAGCATACAAAGTCCTTGTATCAGCATCTTGATAGTGATTGTGTTTGTATATCTTAAGAGGTTTTTCTTTGAGTTACCTTTGTTTTAGGGAAACGTCCTCTTAAAATGCAAGTACTGCTGTCAGGAGAAGCATCATAATACTGATTTTTTAGTGTTAGTTGATTTTTCAGGTGTATTTCTTCCTGTCTCAAGGAATCTCGGTAGCTTGAGAGGACCTTTGGAGGCCATGAGAGAGAACTCTGTACATAAAGTATGTTCACACAGACAGAAAAGCACGCAGTAGCCACTCCCACCCCCCTGCCAAATTCTGTCATGGATGAATACCTAAGTTGTTTAAAAAAAGTTTTCAAGGTCCTTTCCACAGACATTCAGGACCAATTTCTCCTTGTTTTTCATTAAGCCAGGAGAAATAAATTTTGATTGAACCATTCAGGGTTTCAAAGATTGAGAAAACGAATCTCGTATGCTCGTAGATAACAGACAAAAACGAAGGAAGCCAGTTTAGGACCTTCATCTTATACTGCCTGTTATTAAAACCTTTCCAATGAAGCCTTTATAATGATGGAGACATAGCTATGAGTGTCTCATTTTCTGTTGTCATTGTCAGTGTTAGTAGCTGCCATTTGTGAATTACCTGTTTTGCCTGACACAGCAAAGCACTTTGGCCCACATTATGTCTCATCTTCACCAAACGTCCACAAAGTCGGTATTAAGTGTCCTGCATTACAGATGAAGAAACTTTAGAATCTGAGAAGTTAAGCCATATATGCAAGGTCACACTGCCAGCAGGTGCCCAGATCTGTTGGATTTCACAGTACTCTACATGAATTTTTCCTTTAACAAGTAACATGTGCGAACTGAGGCAGGACCCTCGTGGCTTTCTGACCTGGTTTATGCGTCCCTTGCATTCTTCACTCAGAGTTCATCAGCTGTAACTGGTCTCTGGGACCACGGTGTCTGGCCAGTGGGTTTCAGCCCCGGGCAAGTTCACTGTGGAGTCAGTGGGACCGAAAATGACGGTGGGCTGTTCTTGGGGTAAAAGGGTTTATACCCAACTTTACTCCCATGGTGGCAGGTGATGCACTAGGGTCCCATCCACTCAGAGCAAGTCTGCACACAGCAAGCCAGTCTCTGCCTCTGGGCCTCTCTGCCCCTGCAGCCGTCTCAGTCTCTGTTCTCAGTGCTGCCACCACATCAGCCTCTGCTCTCCTGCAGCCCTGCCAGCCCTGCAGCACAGAGCACTGAAGGGCTCTTTATATAGAGTCAGTAGCAACGCATTGCCTACACATGTGTAGTGAGCTAGCCAGCCAGGGCCAGGTGAGAGTCCTGGCCACAGGCACCTTCCCTTTCTCCACACTTGGTCATTGTGGGCAGAGTATATTGGTGTGGTGGGTGGCTACTAAGCCTTCAGGGTGCTTGCCCCTCGAAGCAAGGGCCTAGACTCTATAAGACTTTGGGCTTCTTCTATTTGCTGAGCTGGTCTCCTTGTGATGACTGAAGACAATAATTTCAATTTCTTTGCTTAAATTCTTCATTTGCAGAGTTTTGAATCTGCCTCTCAGAAAACCTATATTTATTAGTTAAATGAAAAAGTACATTTATATACACAGTGAGAAGTTCTACCGCTATTTCATGTCAACAGTCCATTACTCTCTTAAATTTCACACTTGGAAAAATACTGAAGTCATTCCTTTTCTGACTACACAACAGGGAAGGTTTGAAATTCTTCCCATTTTCCCTAAAAAGACAGCAGTGCTCTTTCATCTTGTTCTGCCCTTGAAGACAAGGCCCCCAGTAGTGCAAGGCAGTGTCCGCACGGCTGGGGCTCCCCGGGGGTGTACCTGTGCTGCAGACCTGCTCAGCCCCTGGCCACTGTTTGTCAAGACCTCCCTGTGAGCTGCTCCCACCAGGCCTGTGCTCCCTGCTCCCCCAACTCCTGAATCCCCCCCACCCAATACATGTTGCTTTCTTATAGCTGTTCTCAGCCAGGGTGTGTTTTTGGAGACTGTCCTTTTCTCGGTTTGTTAATGTATGGTATGCCCACCTCCCATTCCCTTGCACCCTTCCAGCTGACACTTAGCAGCTTTCATTTCCCTATACAGTCAACTATGGTGGGTTTTCATAGCGTCATGAAAATGTCTGCACTTTATGTATCCCAGGAACCTGTCCACCTTCCAATCATTTTTAAGGCTAAAGTAGAAGGGGCTGAACAACAATCAGAAGTATGGATTTAACTCAGAAATAGATCATAAAATCATTTCAAAAGGCAGTGGGACATGTGATTCCCAGAGAGCAGAGAATTCTGGACCTCGTCTGCCCACTGGGGTGCACACGTGTAACGAGGGGCCCAGAGCCAGCTGCCCCGTCCAGAACAGTAGCCACTAGCCTCCTGTGGCAGCCAAGCACATGAAATGAAGGTGGTCTGGGTTGAGGTATGTTTAGAATGTAAATTACAGATTCCAAAGACTTAGGAAGAGCAAGAAAATAATGTAAAATACTACATTTATAATTTTATATTCACTGTCTATTGACATACAATACTTTGTGTAATTTGGGTGAAATAAAATACATTACAATTATTTTCACCTGTTTCTTCTGATTTTTTTTTTAATGGCACTACTATAAAAGATGTAATTACAGTTGTAATTTGGACGGCGCTGCTCTAGGTCATAAATGGAGCACCAGCCCGTGCTTATTGACTGGATGGCATGTGGTACCCTGAGCTCAGTGCCTAAGTGTATTGTCTCATTAAGGAATCAGCACCGAGCCTGAAGCTGGATTACTGTTCAGTTTGTAGCTGAGGAAAGGGAGCTAAGGGGCACTGCCTGCCTGCCTGGGGCAATGCCTAGACAGTGATGGAGCACCGGCCAGCTGGGCCCCCTTGCCCCCCGAGCTGGTGCTGCCAACAAGCACGCTCCTTGTCAAGCGCGCCTGGGGCCTACTGAGAGTCACTGCTGCCTGCGGGGCCTTGCGTGATCTCACATGTGCACTTGCGTCAGGGCTCTCCTGTGGGGCCTTTATCATGTGTGATTTTTTTCTGGAAACACAAACCTAGGCGGCGTCCATGTAGTGAGCAGAGGAGGGCCGCCCGGTACTTGTTGCACTGGGTCTCTCCGGCCAGGACCCAGTCACCAAGGTGCAGGAGCAGCTGTGTGTGTGCCCTTGAAACAGATTGAGCTTGTGCAGCTTCGTTTGCTGGCTTCTCCTTCTCCCAGATGGGCCCGGTCCTGTACGTGGAGCCTTCCCCTCTCCATGAGGCCCTGGCTTTGCCACGGGCTCTGCCACCTGCCGCGTCTCCCTCCTGAGCCCACCCACGGTCCTGCCTGCTGGAGTCAGTTCTTACCCCACCTGTCCCTCGGCCTCAGCCGGCTCTGTTGGGTTGCCTCTCCCAGTTCGAATCTTTCTTGGTGTCCTGGGTCTCTTGCTCTCTCCATGATTGTTTATTCTTTGTCTCTGCCTGACTCCTTAGCATCCACAATCCCAGGGTGCCTCACTCTACCCTGGATACTTGGAACCTTGAGGCTTATAGACAACTTTGAGAATTTACTGAAAGTTTGGGCCTTGGAAAATGCACACAGACCACATTTTGTGTATAGTTTCTCAATGTTCAAAACTCCCCAGAGCTCATTCACAGACTCTCGAGCTCACAGATGCTGGGTTAAGGCCTCTGTATTGTCTCTCTGGGGCAACACCACCTAGATGCCAGTGACTCTCAAGCACCTGTTGCCAAGTCAGGCCTCTCACCTGAGCTTTGGTCCCAGTGCCAGGACCCACTGAGCACGTCTGCTCAGAAGACCCTTCAGCCCTGCAAGCTTGGTGAAAACCGAGTTCATCAGTGTCACCCAGTCGTTCCCCACCCCCGCCCTGCCCCTCATCCCCTGTCCCCTTGAGAGCACTGCGTTCTCCTTAGTCACCGAAGCCAGGAGCCTGGCAGCTACCCTGGTTACTGCCTAACCTCACCAGGCACCTAGTCACTGAACCTGGCAGATTTTACACCGTCTGCTCTGTTCCATAGAGCTTTTCTCCTCCTGAGGTCCTGTCTGTTAGTAAGTGCCAGGCATAAGCATTGTATTTATGGTATTTCATTTAATCCTTGAAAGAATCCAGTAAGGTAAACATCATCCACATTATTCTTACAAATAAGGAAACAAATGTAGGGAAAGTAATTTGTAGGGTCAGAGGAGGCAGGATTTGAACCCAGGTCCAGATCCACCCCAAGCCTGTCAGAACCGCTGGTGTGGGCCTGGTTTCCTGTCCCCCCGACACTGAGCTCGACGGTTTAACTGGGCCTGGCTTCTTGGGCGGGGAGCCCTGGGGTGGCACACGTGTGTTCATCCATCTCGGCCGCCGGCGCCAGGGCTTCTTCCGGCCCCTCTTGACTGCTCTCCGCTTGGCTGTGCTGCCCCTGCTGCCCCAGCTGCAGGGCCCTGCACGCTCTCCAACTTCCTCTCTGTCCCTTTGTCTCCACAAGAAACATACAAATATATTAAAGTTTTGATGAACTTCGGTGTTAGTAGCTACCAGTCAATGCAGGTTAACAAATCTAGAAAACAACAGGGAAGGCAACAGTCCTAAGTAGTTTCAGGAAATTCCAATAGGACTCTGCCTGGGTCTTCATTAATATGCTCGTGGGGCTGAATCTTGCCCGAACTGGC